AATAGCAATTGGATCAATATCATTAAGTGAGGAAGTCCCTCAGAAATTGTGACTGTGATCAAATGCTTAATATTCCACCTTCATAACTTCTAGCTAGAGAGTTGAGTTAGGAAGTGCCCACTACCCAGACCTCGATCCCCATGAACACTTCGCTCTGTGCATGAGGAACTTTGTTGAGTTTGAAGTGGCCAGAAAGGTTGCTATGTTGCTTTCTTCGTGCAAGGTCATCTTGAAGAAGAGACAGGGAGGAGAACAATGCAGGAGGTGACATGACATCTTGCTCCAACCACCTCCAGGCCTGATTCTGTGTCCAAGGGGGAGAGAGGAAAGATGGAACCTAAAGGGACTATTTTCATGAAAGATTCTCTGGGATTTTGGACACACCCAGCACTTCTCTGAAAGCCCAAGTTTGGAGAAGGATCTTCTATTTGCACCAGCACGGAGTACAGGATCTCTCTAGTGAGATTTGAGTGGTAGGGCCTTGGTATGATCCTCAGTGTTATTGATCTGGCATTATCAGAAGAGGCAGAAACAGGGTCCTTTTATGAAGAGACTGGAACAGAAATACCATTAACCTCTCAAGGAAAAAAAATAGTGGGGGCAAGGGGTGAAGAATCCTTATATTTTTCAAATGATAGCTCGAAGTGCAATTTTGCCTTAGTATTTAGTATTATGCTCCTCAAGCCAATAAAACCTAGAACTGGAACTCATTCAATTTGTTATATTTACTGTAACTGACAAGATATCCATTTATCTTACCACAAGTCGGTGTTTTTCTGGGTTGGACCCTTAAGAAACTATTTCTCTGGTAAGAGCATTTAATACTTATTTGTTCAAGGCTGAGGCAACTGCTACCGTTCTTTGACCAACATAAATTTGCTGTCCATGTTGCTGCTCTCTTTCCTAGTTTAATTTTAGCCTGTTTTGTTTGTAAGAGTGGTAAGAAAGAAGAAAACATAAGTTTTTAAAACAATGATCCATCTTGACAGAACCTAAGATGTTAGTTTGACTATGAATTCTTATAAAATTTTAGTGATATCTAAAAAATTAAATACCCCCAAAGTAACACTGAGATAGAAAAAGCCTCAAACTACTTCAAATATGATGCTATTTCTCCTTCACACTAATTAGGACAAAACACAGCATTGCCTTTGTGATTCACACATTATACATTAACAGAGTTTCTGATACAGGAATATAAATAGAAGCTTCTTTCTACTTTTTGAATTACAACCAAAAATGTAGGTACCACTTTGCCATTATTTATCAGAAATGCTGAATTGCTCTTAATAGCTTATGTCCTGAAAGGGTGATCAAAGTTGAAAATAAACTTTTAAATTCTAGCTATACTTTTGTATGCAGAGTGCACACTAGGCCACAAAATGATGACATTCCAGAAGCAATGAAATCAGAGTTAAGTATGCATCTAAAAATCAAGGTCACATCATTCTAGTGTTGATCGAGATCCTAAACCAGAGGTGAGGAAATTCTGGAATAAATCCTCCTGAGATAATTCAGAGGTGAACTTTTGGAGCAGAGGGTGAGTCAATTAAACGAATGAGATGTTGTGTTAAATATGCAAATAGAACTGCTGACAACCAAAAGGGCAAAATCCAAGGTTAACCAGACATAGTGGAGATGAATAGTCAGCCAACCCCACTGCTCTGAATAACCATCTAAAAGGTCCATGCCCAGCTTTAAACACACCAACGATCTCCTATACTGCAGAGGGATCAATAACATCTCTTTATCAAGAAACAAACACAAATACGCATCTGACACTGCCTATACTTCCTGTCTCTGCCTCTCTGTCTCATCATGTATTCCAACATATACTCAAATGTTCCAATGACATTGAATTACTTCTGTGCCACCAAATATGAAATGGAGGACATACGACATCATACCAACATGTCCATGATTAATTTATTCTTTAATACTGAAATCTATTTCCTTCTCTTTGGCCCAAGTGAACTCCTCCTCAATTTTCAGTTTAGAATTAACTGCCACTGTGAAGCTTTCTTTAAACTCAGACACACAAAGTAGACA